CACCGTTGATAAAGTCCGGTGTGGGCCAACACAAGGTTATTTACGTCGAAAAGAACTTAAATTGGGAAAACACATTCAATACGTCATGCCTGAACTAAGCATTCTTTGCTATGAGGACTGTGACAGCATTCGTAAAAATACAAACTTTAAAATTAGTCCACTTTGCTTATTCAATCACGTCACATATAATTATTTTCTAGAGACAGCCTCATGTAAGGAACTGTTTAAGAAATCTTCCACTTGCCAGCGAATTCTTGCTCTCATTATCGTCTGTAGTGGACTACATACAAAAGTTTCAAACAAATGCAGTATCCATAATATAAGTACAAGATAAACACTGAACTAAGTAAATATCAATAATTAAAACTATTCAAAGCTTCCCCCACTATAAGAATTCTGAATCACGATATAAAGAAGTTTAAGCCAACTCTAAATGAGTATCTCGCGTCTCACTCACGCCTCCATAGAGAAAATTACTTCTCAGCTATAATAAATAAATGTAAGCAATATGGGTTATATTTCTTCTTTACTTATTTAAATTACTGTCATAACTGTATAATTTATATTTGTTTTAGAAACGAGTATTATATTTGTTCTATGTTCTGCATCCTCGGTTTGGGGTTACGAAGGATCTATGGAATGTAAAATGTATGCAACATTTAAATTTAAAAGCCTTCCTTGCTGTTTGATACTCGCATAGTGCATGGAAATTGATTTCTCTGTCACAGGGTATGAATCAGTATGATTCCAGTTCCACTGACGTTACGAGAACAATGTATCGCATCCAAAGCCCAGGAGACGAAGAATTTATTCAACAGATCAACACATTAAAGTCTCTGTATGACATTACACTCATTTCGTATAAAATTCCGTTTCTGCAACAATAGATTCCTAAATTGTGGCCTCTTAATGGTAAAACGTATGGATATTTCCTACTTTTCGCCAACGATTCGTAGTAGTTTTCAGTACAGCACTGCTATGTGTCAGAATGAACATATTAACAATATGACACACGTTTGCACTGCTCTGTGGAACACCAGTTACTAGCATTGTTTCAATAAACAACCATAAATGCACTACATAACAAACTTATGTTTACGAATGAAAGAGGCTATTGATTACTTACCGGGCAAACCCCTCTCACAATTCTGCTTTGACAGGCTGAATGTTTGTAGTAATTATTAGCGATTTTCCTGACAGAAACACATATCAGCACGTATAGTATAACTTCCACGAGTGATTAAGATTATGAAATCAAGCACAACTTAACACAATACAGCACTCGCTTATGTAAAAAGAACACAGACATGCTAACTGAGCCCACTGCCATTGAATACCATCGGTTGGACCACCACAAAAATTCGTCTGCTCTGTAGAGCGAGATGTATTGACTTCACATCCGAAAGATAGGCTATGCTCTTCTCAACGTGATTCGTAAACTTTCTCACTAGATGCCAGCTACTACCGCCCACAGCGACGAAGGCGACATCTCTGCCAAGTATGTGGAAGCTATTCTGCCGGATGGATGTTTATAACTTCTGCATTTGAAATGTTGTGTTTTTCTTTGCTTAGTGCATATTATTTTTAAAAACTAAAACTTATACCCAAAAAATGTGTACACATAGTTGCAAATTGTAGTACAATTATTTTGTCTATTGTATGTCCTAATTTTAAACTACAGTATTTTGTTCTGGTTGTAAACTTTATTAAATGAATATATTTTCCATATAAAGGACAATGGGATTTTCACTTATGTCATCCTTCTGTCATTAAGATTAATGTGGAGTTTCACAATCTTGGATTTTGCAATGTCACTTTTAACACATGACACTGGATAAACGTCCTTACAAATAAACATAATAGCAATGAAACCGCTACTAGCTTTGTGTTTAATTTCTAATCTATTTATTCCGGTCCTCTTGTATTGGATACAAAACACTGTTTAAGAAGTCCTGTGACCAGAATATATTTGTGATATGTACAATATTCTTATGTTCTTTAGTTACTTTTCCATTCCAATCCTTGCAGTGTGCACAGTTTCCCTCACCGACAAACAACTTGTCATGTTGTGTCCGAGAGGTAACCAATAAATTATGAAATTCACTAACTGTATGTCTCACCTACTTTAAAATCAGTAACTCTGCATTTTTATGTGTTTTGTATGATTCTTGATGTAAACAGGGAAGTTGACCTATGGAATGGTGAAGTGTTTTCTTTGTATGAACTAACCATTAAATACTACTGAGGTGAGCTTTAGCTTTAGAGGGCGAAACCTTTGGCATACAAGAAAATGCTATTTAAATTCCCATACTATGAGGTTGCCAAGTGAACTTTAACTATGGGTAATAATATGACACAGTTATTTGCCATCTGAATAAACTAGTAAAATGAGTTTAAAGTTTACTCACCTATAGTTGTTATTCAGTAAATGAATAAAAATTAAAACTTGAAAGTTAAACTTAAACCAGCACATCCAAATTTATGACAGTGGTATTTTCTCCATCCTAAATATAATGGATGTATCACTAAATCAGCTTCAAGAGCCTTGTTTACATTGTGAAAGTGAGGTTAGAATTGAAGAGATTCAAAAATGCATCCTAACACTTAAAGTCAGAAACAGTGGATTTAGATAAGCAGAAACATGTAAGCACTGTCTTTATTTCAGCATCTCAAAGGACTAATATATATACTATAAAATCAAAATAATTTCATGGAAGTGATGGATTGGACTGTAGGAACACCATGATTTGAAAGTAGCGACTTATTTCTGATCATTTAATGACACTTCTAAAGTGTTGTAGCATGGAGTGGTCAGATCTGAATAATTAATTTGAAAGGATGTGAAAAGCCTGCAGTCAAGGTATATTTTGCCATTTATTTGAGAGAACTGAAAGAAAAAACAAAACCTGTCAAGATTGACGGTTTCTGTTGATATTCAAACCTGGGACATCCTACATATGAAGGAGTGCTAATCATTTGACCTCGATGCCTACTATGTAGGTATTGGACTTTACATATATGCACCTGCTCACACTCTTCATGAATGTGTCTCTCAGTGGGCAAGAAACCTCTTCCTCATTCCTAACCTGTTAATCCATTTTTGCAACCAGTTCTTAAAACCTACTTCATGGTAGAGGGTAACGTAGCTGCCCAGTTACAGCAACATTGTGCACATTAACCTCTTTTCTTGAAGCATTTGTAATTTTGCAGTGCATTTTTAAACAGAGAAATGCTATGAAGGTGAAGATAGTCATCTTCTGGATTGTGCTGTGATACTCTGGTAGAAGTTTTCCTGATGTTGGAGGCAACAAGCGTCTCTGAAACTTTGGTAAACTTCTACCAGATTACTTGTTATAAAAACCCAGAAGAGGAGACTAAATTCCATAAATGCTTGCTACTTCTTAGTTCAAAATATTTTTGTCTTCCTGTCCGATTTCTAAGAACCTAAAGATTAAAATATACAAAACAATAATTTTGCCTGTTGTTTTGTATGGATGTGAGGTGTGCACCGGGTATTGGTTGGGAAGTCTGAGGGGAAGAGACTGCTCGGGAGACCTAGACGTAGATGGGAGGATAATCTCAGACGGGATCTATGGGAGATAGAAGTTGAAGGAGACTGGATTTTGTTGGCCCAGGACAGGGTCCAGTGGAGGGCTTTGGTTAATTCGGTGATGAACCTTCGGGTTCTGTAAGCCATCTAGTTAGTTACTTAACAACCCATAAGACAGCCATCTTCATACTATGAATAATCTGTCCATCACCGAAGCTCAGAGAATAAAATAAAATTAATTACCTAGATCGTAAGATAAATTTCAGAATGTCACAGAATTTGTGCCCTGCAAGACTTGCTTGAAGGCAGAGTGACATAATGTTCTACAGAACTTACGGTGCAATGTAAGTTATGTGGGTTGCCTTTTTAAAACAATCAATCATGAAGGAGGGCACTAGGAAAAACACAAACCTCAGTATAAACACAGTATAAACCGAGATTTAAACCCAGAACTCCTGAATATGAAGGAGTAATAATGCTACATTGTGATATTCAGTGAGATGGCTATTCTTCAATATGATTATTACATTCTGTGTTTGGTTTTCTTCTGGGTAGGAAATTAAATAATGAACTACATAATTTATATTAAACACAAATATATTTGACATAAAAACATATTAAACATATAAAATACATAAGTAATATATATACATGGATTGTAGTATTGTGGGTTGTGATGTCTTGTAGTCTTTTAGGTTGGTTTGCAATATTTAAGAGAAACATATGTTATGTTTTATGAAATATACTCTGAAAATTGAGGCAAAACATTTCTCCACAATGCTGATAATGATCCACAAGAGTATACAGTGTCACAACCCAGAAGAACATAACCCACATTTTTAGCTGCCGTAATAACCTCAAATCTCATACTTAATATTACTTTCACAGTAACTTTACGTACAGTCCGTAAAGAAATTCACTGCATTATTGAGCATTCATTGTTAATCACGAGTTTCAATTAATCACAGTTCTTAACTTGATTTTATATAGTTTGACACTTTGAATTTAGGAAGACAGTTGACGCTTAGAAATTTTTATCTGAGACGGTCAGATTTTATACAGAAAAATTGGATTCTTCATAAGAACAGAATAAATAGTGTCAGATATTTAACAATGATGCATGAACTGCTTACATCACAGTGATAAATAGAAGAAATATGAAGATGCTTATGAATAGTGATATGGGAGTCCTCGTCATGGAAGTGATTGTAATAACCTCCATTGCCATGGGGAACCAAAAATATTTTTAACACTTTCTTGTGCATGAAGAACACCTACAATATCCTGCCCATTCCCCTTTCAAAACGACAGCTTGTGTCGTATATGCGAGTGATAATAAAGACGCAAAATTCTGCATTTAACTGACGGTAACAAATTAAAATATCTTGCACATCACGAAAAACAATAAGACACAATAAACAATAAATAAGACACAATAAACAATCACAAATGGAACAATGCACGTATATAAAGAATTATGTATAACCTTTGTGTCTTATTTCACTTGTATATCAACGCGTTGTTGAATTTTACCATAATCTTATATAAATACAATATAATTCTGTAGTCTTATAATCTTGTCATATTATAATTTGAAGTAAACTAAAAAACTAAAAATTTCCCTGTTCCTTGGTCAAGTTTTCTGAAGGTTAGGGAAATAAAAATGTTTTGAACGTTTGTGAGAATTCCTATTACTTTTTCATAAATCATCAGTATTAACTTGAGGTATGAATCACGTCTTAATCTTATTTTAGTTACCAGTCATCTAAAGATCTTGCATTTCTGTTGGACTCCATGTAAGCTCAATGACTGTACGTATTCTCGAGGTTTCAAAAAATGGTTGGTTTGATCTGATACATTATCTTCTCTTTCAACTAATGATTTCCTTTTGGATTTGTATAGCATCCTTGTATGGCCCAAACTTAAGTTTGCATCTGTCATTTGGAAATATCATTAAGGTTTGAGAAATATGACTTCATTATAGGTTGCAGCATGTAGATGCCCTATTCCTCATTCAAAAACAATTATTTGCACTACCATTCTCAATTCTGTTAGTGAATAGAAACTTGTGTGAATAATTCAAGACCCTTATAATTTTAATGTATACATCACTTAAAAGTAAGTCCCTCAGAAATGTTTCTGCTGTTAATTTAATCTGGATTACCATCGACATGTTCGAAAGATCTCATATTTACCATCGTACATGACTCATTTATATTGAATAATCTTTCCTTTGTCTAGATTCCGCTGGTTCTATTTCATAAACCGCGGTTCGTGTTTCCATTTTACCTCTACATCTTACTCTAATAGAATTTTTATTTTATTTTATTAAATCCTCTTTATGCTGATTTCCTGTAATTAGTTTTTCTGATACTTTAAATGATTGGGCTAATCATTTTTTTAATTATTGCGTGACGTCACTTTGTAAAACCTGTCACCATCTTCAAGATGATCCGAATAAATGGCCTTCTGCAATATTTACAGTTCATGCCACAAACAGCACAGAAGTTTGCACTCTGGCATTCTTAGGTCCCCATTGGCCAAAACTATAATAGCTGGTGCTTTACCTCGAAGATGGAGACAGCCAGTTTTTCCAAAATAACAGCAAACTTTCCCACCCAAACATTTTTATCATTCAAGAATGAAAATTTATAAACTGCTATTACAGTTTGAGGATTTTTACATTATACTGATGCGAGTTCTGAATCAAGCACCGTCATGGGACTGTCACAGGTAGAAAATCCCTACTATTACCAACTCTGGGATTAAAACCCAAATTTACTTTCCTACCAGTTAGATCATCGCCAACATCCAAGAAAGTGTTCCAATCAAGAAGAAAATAAAGTCCATTTGGCCTCTTTGCTGGTAACGCATCAACCACACTGGTATCAGCGGATGCAGTTTCACCGCCACCAAATGAATCTGCAAGATCTGTTAATGATGGCCCTGGATCTTGTGTACTTTCTGCAGTGGAACTGTTGGAGGTTCCATTATTTGACTGCTGGCGCTTAATTTCATTTTTTATGTCTGCTGGTACTAACAGCAACTCTTCTAGAGACAGTGGGTCAGGCACATCTTTTATGTTACCAAGAGACAATGACTTATTGGTCTGTTTCTTCGGCACAAACAGTACCGGTAGAACATTGGCTACGTCTCCCTCAGAAGTCACCGTTTCATTGCTGCGTTGGACCGGTGGAAGAATGAAGGAGATCGACGCATTCAGGGCATCGATCTCATCTTGAGTGATCGTTCCATTATCCTTCATCAGCTTTTTGATGGTGTCCAAGAGTTTTGTGAGTCTCTGTGCTTCCAGATCTGTCAGATTGAGTGATGCCAAATGAACTGAGGGATTAAAAACATGGCCTTCAAAATTATTTGTCTTCTTCTTTGATAGAGCAGTTGTGAAGTTTGTATCAGGAAGAAACCCAAGATTTCCTAAAATTTCTTTCATTTCATCAGTCAAAATATCCATGTTGATATGAGGCATAGTTTCATTAGACTTAAACGCATGAGCAGGAACTTCATCAGCAATGTTATCGCTGCTATTTTTCAATGATTGTGCTTCTATTTTAAGTGATTTTTGTGATCTAAATCCATGGACATCACCATGCTCAGTAAAGCTTCCTCTACTTGGATAACCTTCATCAGAATCAGATGTAGAAACCAGGCCAAAAGATGCAAGGAACTGTTTCATGTCGCTACTCATCAGATACTTGTCTTCATCATCTTCTTTGCTTTCATTTTCTGCAAGAGGGAGCGGCTTGAAACTGAGGTATGAACTCGGATTGACAACTGGGCTTGCTGCCTGCTGATCATAGGCTTGTGCAGGGCCCTCGGTTGCCGATTCTTGGTACGAGGCCTGGCGAATATCATTTTCTGATGGGAGGAGCCCAAAAGATATCAGGAGATCTTTCATTTCGGATGACAGAGATTCTGCTGCTGCTGCTACATCTGGCATCGTAGTTGTTGTAGAAGTTGTCGTTGGTACAGTTTCTTGTCTCTCTTTGTCTGGAAAGAGTCCTATTGATGCAAGCAGTTCCTTAACATCATCGCGCATGACTGTCTTTTCTGTTGTAGTTTTTCCAAATGTTAGTTCACTAGCGGAATAGTGACTACTAAGTTTGGTTGATTCTGGAAGAGGATCAGCTGTTGGTGGCGTCACAAACATGATGACTTTATCTGATGTGTTATGGACTAAAGGTTCAGGATCTGATAGATGATCTTCCACATTGAAAGATGTTAGCAGATTTTTCATGTCGTGGGGTAAGTCAAGTCCAATGCCTGTAGGTTCTGGAGATGAAAGCGGTTCATCGGTAGTTATTGTGCTAGCTGGTTTAGTTCTCGTTTGGCTTGGGTTTGGCCTGAGTCCATTGGGAAGCTGAGTTTTATTTTGTAATGATGACTGGAGTTGTACGTTGTAGCCCAGATTAATATGATCGGGTGACGTATCGCCTTCTTGTAGATTTATCATTTCTGGATAGACTGTAGTTACAGCCTGTTGTAATGTTGAGAGCTTGGCTGATTGATAATAATGATCTGTCGTCTTGTAATTACTAATTCTTTCTGGATACACTGTTGTTACAGGCTGATCACCTGGAGATAACTTTGTTGTTTTGTAATGCTGGCTGATGAACTGTTCTGGGTCTGGCGTTGAAGTTGTCGGACGTCTTCGACGATGATAGTTGTGCTTAAATCTCTTTGTTGTTGAACTCTGTTCAGTTGTTAATGTCGTGTGCTGTGTTTCTGTTTCATAATTGTAATTTGTATCGGGATGTATGAATTGTGTGTCATAAGGTTTATGATAAACTTCATGATTGTCTGGACGTTCTTTTTCTTGTTGAAAATGCTGTTCATTAAACTCTGACTGTTCAGTAGTGGTTGAAGCAGATATTGTTGTTACTGAAGGATTAAATTTTGTCCTGACTGTAGTGACAACTTCTTTTGAGTTGTCTTCAATGAACTGTATTATCGGTGCCTTTGTGTATAATTCTTGAATTTTTGTTTCGCTGAGATTCTTAGCATTGTAAGGCATCACTAGCATCAAAGCTCTCATAGCCCTTAAATATTCCTCATGTGTTTTGTAGTTTTGTGGCTGTAAACCATTGATGCTTTCAGATTCTCCTGCTGGTACCAGAGTCTGATCCTGACTCGTGATGTTGTTCAGAATTTCAAATATTTCACTTCTTGAGAGCCGCGGCAGTTCAGGATTAACTGCTAAGATTTCTTCAACTTCTTTGATGGTTCTATTAACATCTGCGACAGTTAAAGGATAATTATCTATTTCATTAAAGTCCTCATTTTTTGATTCTGTTGGTCCATCATCGTAAGAACCTGCTAATGCTTCATGTAGTGGTTCATTTTGGGTTTCATTTTCGTTATATGGTTCAGGTACATAATTGGTGTCTTCTGTTGTGTGATCCTGTCCTGAAGCTGTTGGTTCAGTAAATGAAGTCTCTTCTGCTCTTGCAGTCAAGAAGAGAGCCCCAATAATGCAAAAACAGATCAGGGTCTAAAACAGAGAACACTACGTCATTACACTACATAGACTGAAGAACTTGTACTTATATGCAGTTACCTACAAACATTTAAATGTTAACCCAACTGTACAGGATCTACTGAGCATTTAGAAATCGTCTGGTAAAATCAAATGTTCTTACATAACCTAAAATGTCAGCATTATTTTTACAGAAACCCACCACTGAATAATATCTTAAGGCAGTTCAACTCAGTCATCAACTTTACACTGTTTCCTTAAGAACTAGTTTAATATTATTCTCCCATAAAACTAATCTCAAAATCTGTATCTTCTATTAAGTTTCCTGACTAAATTTTATACACGTTCTCATTTCCAACACGTGTTCTGTGTGTAATACGATCTCATCCTTCTTGATTTAATCGATGGAACAATATTTGATGAAAATTGTAAATTATGAAGCTTCATTCTCCATCCAGTGTTTTGTTCCTTCATAACGCTTGGTTCTGTATATATGTCTTAGATCCAAACATATTTCTAATCGTTTATCCTTACTTTCCTACTGTGTATACAGAATTTGTGGCTCTACAGTCCTTAAAGGACCTTAACTCCTCACACATGCGAGCTGTTTCAATCTATTTAGACGTTTGGTAAGACTCCTTGGACGAGTGATAACTGACCAAGCCCCCAGACTGGGCAATCACTGTGCCCGGCAAAGAATTGATCCACAGGTGTCCCAAAAAGACGTATATATACAAACATTCAATAAATAAAAATATACATTTTAACAAACTACAATATTACATAGGTACATCAGCAGTAGTACTTGGTGCATTAGCGAATCTAGTTTAGTGTTCAAAATGGCCACTTTTATGTTCTCCTCGAAAACAAAACACGAGGAGATTGATAACAAGGTTAATATTCCGTATTATGTGTATTCATCTTTTTGGGACCTACTGTGGTTATTGTTTATATATATATATGTTTTGCTTATAATTTAATAAAGAATTTCTTGTCAACTTCTTCACCTATCATGAAATAGGTTCTCTGACCTATTCATTTATGAATCATTTAGAATTTTGGTCACAAATTTGTTGCATCGCTTCAAAATATTTTAAAAGTGCTTTTTATTTCAAAATATGTTTCAGAAGTTCAAAAACATATAATAATAATAATAATTTATTTATTTATTTTCATTCCATGGATCCATAAGACAGTCAGATGAGAATAGGATAATAATAATAATAATAATAAGAAGAAAGGAGAAAGGAGATTTGTCTAATCCGGAAAACTACCGACCCATTACCTGTCTTAATACTGTATACAAGGCGTTCACCTCCATCTTGAACGAACGCATACTGCACCATATTGACCCTATCTGGAAAGAGGTATATGAGCAGCGGGGTTCGAAACGTGGCATTGCAGGTTGCAAGGACAATCTGTTGATTGACAGATGCATCTGTCAAGATGCGGTCCATTATAAGCGCAACCTGTCAATGGCCTGGGTGGACTACAAAAAAGCTTTTGACACAACTTCTCATGAGCTAATTGTCATCTTGCTCAAAGTGCTGAAAGTCCAACCTGACATAGTGAAATGCATTGAAAATCTACTACCGCTCTGGAAAACGCGCTTCATTCTAACATCTGGGAAGCGTGTAGTGTCAACCGAGTTGGTATGCTACCACCGCGGAGTGTTTCAAGGTGACAGCTTGAGCCCTCTTCTTTTCTGCATCTCGCTACTTCCTCTTTCCGTTGTGCTAAGACGTGA